GGGGATCAGCTTGTCCTTTATTCAAATGTTCAATATTGAAAGCAAATCCATTTGAATGAGTGTCAGATTTTTAGGCAGCCTCAGGTCTCTTGACCCTTAATTTTATATCTCAGGAGCCCTTTCTCACCAAGTCATCAGCTCTGCAAATCACAATCTCACCCTATCCTCTCAGGCAGTCTTCTCTGGAACCTTGGAGAGGCTGGTTGTCTGGGTGAGGCTCCCCACCTGTCCCTGGGCCGTCTAGCCATTAGCTGGTATGATGTTGCTATTGTAACAGCTGACGCCGGAACCAGCTGAACTTACTTGATTTCTCTATTTCGTAGTATTTCAAATAAAACTTTATAGTAGTTAGTATATGTGATATAGATGTGTAGATGATCACAGTTCATGCATTTCATCAAACACTTGCCTCTGTACTTTGTTTCTCCCATTCTCTATGCCCCAAAGATCTTTCCTCACCTAAATAAGCATTTCTCATCCTTCAGTGCTCTATTCAAGCACCTCCTTCTCCATGAAGCCAGCCCTCATCCTCCAAGTCATCTTTAGTCAACCCCTCTTCTACTGCATTGTCATATCATACTCTTAGTATCTCTCCGTGCTGGGAATGACCGGCTGTAGTCTCCATGTCTGATTCCCTTGCAAAACTGTCAGCCCCAACCGAGGGACCATTTCTTATTCATAGCCATAGCACCTGGGCATCTGGTTCTCACCAGAGTGCTAGACTTTAAGCCTCGGATAACTATAGATCATCTCCTTATATGGCAGTTTTACTTAATAATAAGCAACTTAAAATTTTTTATATATTCTTAAATGCTGAGCTATTTTATAGAGAGGCATGCAAAATTAGCTTGGCTTTTAAAAGGTAAATACATTTATATTATTTGTTCACATTCTTCTGAGGTAGTTTCAGAACTTTTTGTGATGAGCACTTAACACAAGTTTGAGTTGAATTTAATTCAATTCCAGAGGATGTGGATGGTTAATGATTTTTTTTTTCCTTAAAGCAAACAACAATAGGGAGAGTTTGGTAAAAGGGTACAAACTCTCAGTTATAAGATGAATAAGGTCTGAGGGTCTAATGTATAACATAGTGACTATAGTTAATAATACTGTATAATTGAAAATTTCTAAGAGAGTAGAACTTAATGTTCTTAATGTTCTCCCCCCCCCCAAAAAAGTAAATATGTGAGCTGAGGAAAAAAGAAAATGACAGAACTTTATTCATTTGTAGTAATAGCAAGGAGATGCACTTTTGTTTTAAATTAATAAGCTAGAAAAGGCAAGCTGGAAAAATCAATGCTATTTCAGCTAAAATTATAAATTTTGTTTTAACAAAAATTCATTTCTAAACATAGGGACTGAGAAGTCTTTTGGAGCGACTGTCCTTTGGCAAAGACCAAATGCTTCTTTGTATCTGAAAAAAATTTTATGATACATCATACACACAAAACTGCATATTCAATATATGAATAAGTTCAGTCTTCAAAGCTCCTACAGGATAAGTAAAATTTTAATGAATAATAAATATTTATCAAGTAAATATCCTTGAGATGTTATAGTCTTGCCTCGATTATGAAGTCATTGCCAAGTAGTAGGAGGCGAGACTAAAATTGGATTTTTTACTAGGTATATTAAGTTAAGTAGACCCAAAAAGAAATGAACCAGATATGGCATTATTTGTAAGCCTTGCTCTAAATTGCATTACTTTGAAACCTGAATTACAAAAATAATTATAAAAGGAATATATATACTCAATGTAGACTTATTGAGAAACTGACCGAATTTGCCATCTTTCATTTTCTACTCTTTGCAGGTGGAAGAGTTGATGGGAAAACAAGCTGTCCATCAGGAGTTACTGGAGGACAGCAGAAGGCATGGGGGTGTGCAGACCAGGAGTGAGTGATACGTCCTGAGTGACTGACACTAGTTTGATTGTGCATGGGACTCATTGCAGTGAGGGGGCAGATGTGCGGCCCAAATTTTGAGTTTTATCTTACACACAGTCTCCGAGCTTTATTCTCTCAATCTCCTTTGCAAAAGGAATGACTTTCCAATGAATTCCATCTGATTTTTAGCGATGTATCTTTTAAAAAAAAAGATTTTATTTATTTATTTGACAGAGAGGGAACACAAGCAGAGGGGAGTGAGAGAGGGAGAACAAGCTTCTCACGGAGCAGGGAGCCCCATGCAGACTCAATCCCAGGACCCTGGGATCATGACCTGAGCCGAAGGCAGATGCTTAATGACTGAGCCACCCAGGAGCCCCTGCAATGTATCTTTTTAATCGCATATGTTTTCGTCACTGATCCCCCCACAAGTCTGAATCAAGTGGTCTTATCTCCTTTTTCTATCTTCTCCTGCCATCTAAATTATTATTCCCATGATCATTTATTCAGTCATGCCTTAATTATAGTCTTCTTACCTACCTATGAAAATCTTAATCAGAATCCTTCAGTGACTCCTAAAGTTCAAATGTCCTAACACAGCAGACCTCTACCTTTAGATCTGACCTCTCCCCAGCTCTCCAAACTTCTCTTCAGTCACTCTCGTACATACACTGGGCTCCTATCACAAAGAGAGTCCTGTGGTTTCCTGTCTTGTCTAGCCTCTGGGCTTTATAGAGTTGTTCCTCAGTGGACATCCTTCCCTTACCCTGGGCTAGCTGTCAAGCTCCTTGTGTCCTTCAGGAGTCTGGGCAAGTAGCACTCTTCCCTGTCTTTCTTAACATGTCTTGCTAAAGGTAAGCCCCTGCTTTTTTGTGCTGCCATAGTGTCCTGTCCACACTTCTATTATAGTATTTATGTTAAATTATTAATTTAAGAACCTTACTTCTACCAGAGGCAGGAGTCCACATACTCTCAGGGTATCCATGAATTCCCCTGAATTATAGGCAAAATTTTATGTAGGTTCATTTTCGGCTGGGGAGAAGATTCAGAGCTCACATCAGACTCACAACAGAGTCTATATTTACCCTCTCAAAACCAAATTAAGAACCACTGCACTAGACTATGAGTCCCTAGGAAACAGAAAGTAAGTTCTATACTTCTTTGAAACTCTACAATTAGATGCCTAATGTTAGCTGAATGAACGTTTCAGTTATTATTTAGACTAGATATTTATATTAGTAGATATATAGTAAATTCAACCTCCTCTCTTCATTGATGTTTTTAAAATAGGAAGTGTAAAAGGTACATTGGTCAAAGGAAAGATATGGAAGCATTTATGCCAAACTACTACTAACAGTGGTCATTCTTGGAAAGAGGGATGGAATAGGGGTGAGATAGGGTTCAAACTTAACTTATACCCTTGTATCTTTTTTTTTTTAAGATTTATTTATTTATTTGAGAGAGACAGAGAGTGCGTGTGAGCAGGGGTAGGGGCAGAAGGAGAGAGAAAGAGAGAATCCTCAATCCTTGCTGAGAGTGGAGCCCAACATGGGGCTCGATCTCATGACCCTGAGATCATGACTTGAGGCAAAATCAAGAGTCAGATGCTTAACCGACTGAGCCACCCAGGTGCCCCTATACTCTTCAGTCTTGATCAAGTTTGTTTGTTTTACAATGTGTGCTTTTTAGTTTTGAAACTTAAAAATACTGTTTTATTTATTTTTTATTTTTTTTAATTTAATTTTATTACATTATGTTAGTCACCATACATTACATCATTAGTTTTTGATGTAGTGTTCCATGATTCATTGTTTGCGTATAACACCCAGTGCTCCATTCAGTATGTGCCCTCCTTAATACCCATCACTGGGCTAACCTGTCCCCCCATCCTCCTCCCCTCTAAAACCCTCAGTTTGTTTCTCAGAGTCCATAGTCTCTCATGGTTCCAATATCCCCCCCTTCATTTTTCCCTTTCTATTATCTTCTTTTTTTTTTTTTTTAACATATAATGTATTATTTGTTTCAGAAGTACAGGTCTGTGATTCATCAGTCTTACACAATTCACAGCGCTCACCATAGCACATACCTCCCCAATGTCCATCACCCAGCCACCCCATCCCTCCCACCCCCCATCACTCCAGCAACCCTCAGTTTGTTTCCTGAGATTAAGAATCTCTTATGGTTTTTCTTCCTTTCTGGTTTCATCTTGTTTCATTTTTCCTCCCTTCCCCTACGGTCCTCTGTCTTGTTTCTCAAATTCCTCATATCAGTGAGATCATATGATACTTGTCTTTCTCTGATTGACTTAAAAAATACTGTTTTAAAACATAGAACTTTCTTCTTAAGTTCAGGAGACATCTAGCTTCAAATTGCAGATCTGCTACTTATTTAGTTTTGTGCCCCTGGGAATGTTACTTACCCCTTATAAGCCTACATTTCCTCATCTGTAAAATGAAGATAATACTTATCCCACATAGTTATCATGCCACAAAGCCTAGCATGAAGTAGGGACTCAGTAAATATTAGCTGAATGCAAATTTTGTCGTCCTTAAGGTTTTGTTTTGTTTGCAATCCGAAATAGAACTCAGTGAAATATAGCTCATTATTATCTCAATACTGTAAGCATTCATACATTCAGTAAAAGTCTGATGTAACATGGCTAGTTTATAAGGTGGCTATTAGCTTTGAGTGCTAACTTATAAAGAATCCCATGATATTTTTGTTTGTTTTTAAACATAGAAGAGTTGGGGTGCCTGGGTGTCTCAGTCAGTTAAGCATCTGCCTTTGGCTCAGGTCATGATCCCAGGGTTCTGGGATTGAACCCCGCATGGAGCTCCCTGCTCAGCAGGGAGCCTGCTTCTCTCTCTTCCCTCTGCCCTTCCCCCCACTCCTGTGCTTGCGCATGCTCTCTCTCTCAAATAAATAAATAAAATCTTTAAAATATATAGATAAATAAATAAACAGAAGAGTTACAAGATTCTTAAGCAATTTATAAATGTTTAGATTTATAAATGAAGTACAAGGACTGGTTTAAGCTAAGTACACTGGTTTAAACTAAGCTCTTGGTTCATCTGTGCAGTGACTAGAAACAAGTTCTTTGCAGTATTCACTCACCTCGTGGCCTGTCTCCACCAGTAGACATCACATCATGTTTGGTGAAGTCTTTCTGATTTTTCTAGAGGTTCTACAAGAAATAAAAATGCCATTGATAATGATAGGTACCTTGTAATTTATACCATCCTTTGTTTTAATAAATTTTTAATGAAACATTTTTATTGTACATTCAAGAGATTGCTGTTAAAAAATATCTAATCAGCGGCGCCTGGGTGGCTCAGTTAGTTAAGCGACTGCCTTCGGCTCAGGTCATGATCCTGGAGTCCCTGGATCGAGTCCCGCATGGGGCTCCCTGCTCGGCAGGGAGTCTGCTTCTCCCTCTGACCTTCCTCCGTCTCATGCTCTCTGTCTCTCATTCTCTCTCTCAAATAAATAAATAAAATCTTTTAAAAAAAAAAAAAAGTCTAAACATTCAACAATATATAAAGTAAAAAAAAAAAAACCTTGTTTCTTTTAGTCTTTTCAGTTTTTAAAATTTTTTTATTTATTTTTTTAGATTTATTTATTTATTTATTTGACAGAGAGAGAGAGAGACAGCGAGAGCAGGAACACAAGCAGGGGGAGTGGGAGAGGGAGAAGTAGGCCTCCCGCCGAGCAGGGAGCCCGATGCAGGGCTCGATGCGGGTTCGATGAGGGGCTTGATGCAGGGCTTGATCCCAGGACCCTGGGATGATAACCTGAGCCGAAGGCAGAGGCTTAACGACTGAGCCACCCAGGCGCCCCTAGTCTTTTCATTTTTAAGTTACTTGGTGTTGAGTAGGCACATTCACCTTGGTATTTATATCTTTGGGTATTTATATCTAACAGTTCTGGACTAATAAAAAATTCCGATGTATTTAAAATTAGCTGGAGTACTCCAACATTCAAAGCAGTTCATCTGACCCTAAAATAATGAAAGCCACAAATCTAGAGATTTTCCTAAGTATCCCACGTTAAATGAAAGTCACCTACTTCAAGTGACAAATGAAATAGGTTCATAATAGGTTTTTTCTGTAGGGGCTAATCGAGGTGATCTATAGTCAAAATTAAGTAGAAACCCATTTGGAAAATACCCTATGAGTATATGGTGGTTTGGGTATTGTTTTTGTTTATTTTTTGAGGAATATAGCAGGTTTCAATCCAGCTATATGTTTTATTTATTTTTCATTATTTCATTATCTAAAGCTTCTTGGGCAGTTTGGCCAAGTTATGGAATCTTTTTGGGCATCAGTTTCTTGATCTGCATAATTGGCATAAGAATAATAACAATGCAGATGTGAGGATTAAGGGAGATGGAGGCTGGGGGGCCAGAGGCTAGAACATGGGCAGTAGGGGCACCAACAGCTTACTTAGTTGCTTTCATCATTTTGTCAAGGTCCCCTCCTTTATCCTAAGAGAATCTATATTTATTCCCAGCTTGTCTTGCTCTTTTTTTCTTCTTAACTTTACAGAAAATTTTTCTTAATATGGTCCTCTTTGTGCATAACTCTGCTCTTTGTCCTGAAGGAATCTAAGGGGCAACGCACCACCCAATCCTGGCTCTGTCAGACGCTGCTCATTGCCATGCAGCATCCCTTTTTCTTTAGTAACCCAGTTTAAAAACCACATTCCCGGGACGCCTGGGTGGCTCAGTCGTTGGGCATCTGCCTTCGGCTCAGGTCATGATCCCAGGGTCCTGGGATCAAGCCCCGCATCGAGCCCTGCATTGGGCTCCCTGCTCGGCGGGAGGCCTGCTTCTCCCTCTCCCACTCCCCCTGCTTGTGTTCCCTCTCTCACTGTGTCTCTGTCTATCAAATAAATAAATAAAATCTTTAAAAAACAAAACAAAAAAACCCCCACATTCCCCCTTCTCCTTCACAGCTAGGTGTAACCACAAGAATAGACTCTACCTCTGAGGTAGAGGTAGAAATAATGTGAGCAATCTCTGGGAAGTCTCAAAAGAGAGAACACGTCTTTTTCTTCCTATTCTTCCTTCCCACTGGGGGAACACAAATGAGATAGGTAGAGTCTGAGCAACCTTCTTGGACCAAGAGGGATACACTAAGGATGGCAGAAGAGCAGGATAGAAGGAACCAGGGTCCTTCACACAAGGACCTGCTCAAACAGCTCTGGACTGCCTACCTGGGGGCTTTTTTTTTTTTTTTAAACAGGCTCCATGCCCAGTGTGGGGCTTGAGCTCACAATTCTGAGATCAAGAGTCACATGCTCTACTGACTGAGCCAGCCAGGTGGCCCTAGGCTTTTTTTTTTCTAACATAAGAGAGAAACTTCTAGCTTGTTTAAGCCACTATTATTTTGCTTTTCCATCATATATGGATGAACCCAAACTTACTAATATGCTGGTCCTCTAGGAAAATGTCTAGAACCAAGAAGCATTTTTAATTCTTGAAAATTTTCCCTCCTTTGAGCCTGTGTGTCCCTTCTACTTAATAACAAATTCTCCCTCTCAGCAGAGAGCCTGCTTCTCTCCTCCCCACCTGTGTACTCTCTTTCACTGTCTCTCTCTCTCAAATAAATAAAATCTTTAAAAAAAATACTCTTCTATGAACTGGGGAACCAAAAGGAGGTTGAATATGCTGTAATAATGAACTTACTGGTTCTACAATTTTAGCAGAGCCTTAACTTTTGTTATCCTCAGATGTCTACTGGGAGTGCGCGGAATAACTGGTAGATGGGGAAAGAGTATTGAAAAGTATCTTAGTAGGGCGCCTGGGGGGCACAGTCGGTTAAGCAGCTGACTCTGTTTCAGCTCAGGTCATAATCTCAGGGTCGTGAGATCCAGCCCTGTGTGGGGCTCTGCGCTCAGTGTGGAGTCTGCTTGAGATTCTCTCTCCCTCTCCCTCTGCCCCTCCCACTTGTGCTGGCTCTCTCGCTCGCTCTCTCCCCCTAAAATAAATAAATAAATCTTAAAAAAAAAAAAAGTATCTTAGCAAAGAAATACAACCATCCTTTCATGCCCATTGTTCATCTTCTGCCCAGATATGACAATAAATAGGAGGTCTCATCATGCTCCCAGGGTACCTTACACAGTAAGGTTCTTGCACTTCTCCCCAATCACCCTTTACCACCATTATGCACCATCTCTACCCACCCACCCCCCCCTCACACTCCATAAGGAGTCCAGTGAAAATTTAAGAGAAGGAGGAAGCTTTCTAGAGGGCATAAGAATTTTCTATTATTTGCCTCTTCGTTGCTCACTGAAATCATGCCCACATAGCCTGAGGAAAATGGATAGAGCTGGAACGGACCCGTATGAGGGCATTGTATTTTAAAAGAGCTTTGAGTTAAATGACCGTTGTCCAAAAAAAATCCTAAACAGCTACTTCCTCATTCCCAGGGGATAAATTCTAGACCCTTCCTCAAATGAAAAAAATTTGAGCATCTGATCAGCTGCCACTTTCTTTTTTATTTTTCTGTTTTAGGACAACTTAAATGGATGTTAATACCTACTAAACTCTCTTTTCTCAATAAGGGCAGGAGCAGATAACAAAATAATCAGAAGAATATCCTTGGCTAAAATTTAGCAATTTATGGTTTAGTTCATCTTATTTATAAGAGGCACTGAAAGCACCATACAAATAAAATAATGAGGATTTTTTCTTCCATGGTTCCCAAGGTGATTTCTGATCTCTTGAAAGCACAGGTGATTAATCAAGTCATTGGGGACAAGCAGCAGTGATTGTCAAACTATGGATATTGATCAAACTGTGCTTCATTTTCATGGAGTGTGTGTGTGTGTGTGTGTGTGTGTGTGTGTGTTGGGAGATGGTCAGTGGGAGAATCAGTACTTTCAACATTGTCCCTGAGAGACGTTAGTAGGAATTATTAAATATTCTTACATTTTATAAAAAATCCAAAAGCTGAGAAAAATATCCCTAAACTCAAAATCAGAAGGTTCTTAATCTGGGGTCCATAGATTAAAATTCAGACCATCTGTAAATCGCCTGACATTGTTTGATTTTACAATTCTTTTTTTCAGAGAGGAAGGAAGACTTTTTGTCTGCCCATTGCTTGGAGCTTACTAGTTTACTGCTATATTGATATTCACTCTTATATACAGAGAAGAGAGAGAAGGAAGAAGGGGGAATAAAGAGGAACCAGGAGTCTCATCAATTCTGTCCCAAATCAAATCAACCAAATGTATATGAAATTTGCACAAGGTATTTATCTGTTAACTTTTATATTGTATTTGTATTAAAAGTTAACAACAGTATGATCATCTTCCTTTCAAAGCCTCTGAGGTTTCAAACTGGTTTAGATGGCATTTTCAGAGTCCATGGTATTAATAAAAATGTAGATGTTAATTAAATTCAAGGAAACTTTAGAATAAACGTGTCAAAAATTTATTTCTCTAGGATACATTTCTGACCATTTGTGTTAAATCCTTCAGACGTACTTTCAATGAAATGGCAATACCATTTCCAGTAATACAATTTTGTATTGAAAGGAGCTATTTAAAAAGACAAAGGGTAATAAAGACATATTTCTATATTTTCAGAATACTAGTTTCAACATACAAAAACCCATATAATTCCAATACTAATTATAATGGAATGCTATTCTTGCTTAAGTAAAGGATAGAAAGCTTTCAGGTGAAACACAATTCTTCTCATCATGCTCCCAAAACCCCACAAAGAGTTTAGAATTAAGTTTCACTAAGGTCCCTGTGTAATTAATCAGCACACATTATTCTATACATAACAGAGTGAACTCTGATAGAATCCTCTGTCCCTTTTCTGTGTTACAAAAGGCATTCCTAATTTTTATTCTTTATTCTTAATCCCAAAGAGGCATATGCATGTTGGATTTATCTGCCTTGTAAATCAAGAAACTTGTCATCTTTTCTTTAAGATAGCTCTCAAAATGTAATTCCACTTCAAATTAATACATAAATATCCAACGCTCTTCAGTCTCCAAACATTTCATTAAGGCAGATGATGATAAAATTTAAAAATTAAGCAAAGGCAGATTATGATAAAATTAAAAAATTAAGCAAGAAAATAAATATTGTACAAGTTGTTATAACTTTTAAATAGCTATTTCTTTAAATGGCTACCTTAAATAAATGTCAGCATGGTTTGAATCTAAATTAGTAAGGATATATGGGATTTCTTCTTTTATGAAAATATTTCCCCTGTCAATGCCTTTCAAAGCACATAAAAGCACACACTTAC